AAAAAAAATAAAACTAAACCAAAAATCACAATCATATTAAATATTAAATAAAGATTTATTTAATGCATAAAAGTATCTAACCACTTATAATGCTAATAAAATTACAAAAATGTGTTTTCTAGTCCTTTGTGCACCCCCGATTATAATTTATTAAATTAAAATATTTTTAATGAAACTTCTACCTCGTATTTTTTTTTTGGTTCTCATCTGGTATCCGGGGCTTCGTCCTAACTACTCCGGACTCGACCAGTTGTGGCGCACCAGAATGGTGGGTGGGTCTCCCAATGAAGACTGCTGTGTACACAAGGTCTCGAACTCGAGATTTTACTTAAACTGAAACAAGCCGTTTGCCACTTGATTCAACCCTCGTTGGTGAAATTTCTACCTCATATTATGTTTTTATTGTGCAAGTTCCAACTACTAACATGACTTTTACCAGATTAATAAGTTAGAAAAAAATTAAATAAATAAATAAAATTAAAATTAAAATATTGACACTTTAAATATTAAAAATGATAAGAAAAAATTAAAATATTTTTAATAAAATTTTTTATATATTAATTTATTAAAAATATTTTAATTTTTTTATTATCATTTTTAATATTTTAAATACTAAAAGGTTTTGATTTTCTTTTACCCAATAAATAAAGGATTAAATAAAAAAGCGACTTGATGCTTTCCAGAAAAGCAACCAATAGCAATATAGGTGAAATGGAAAAAACACGGTTTAATGCTCTTCCAGGAAGAATCGTCCAGCTCTGTCTTGCCGTCTTTTTTGACCTTTTAAATTCTCAATCTCTCTCACTTTTTTAATTTTTAATTTTTTTAATATTCATATCATTTTGTGGGTCCATTAATATTTCTTTAACAACGAAATTATTAGGGTTTAAAGTACTGTTTTTCCCTGAACTATCAAATTTTACAAAAATTTGTCCCTTTAGGTTTTTTAACATTTTTTTTATCTTTTAACTCTCTAATTTTGTGTTGAAGGTTTTTTAAGTCTATGGTTAAATCTCTAAATGTAAAAGATTTTCTCATCCATTGATGAGAATTTAAGTCTATATAATCCCTTCCTTACCTTTGTTCTTTATAGGTTAAATCACTTGTTCTGTGTTATAAAAAACTCTCTAATTTGGTTCAGAAGTGATTTATTTATTAATTATTTGAAAAGTTGAAGAGACCATTATGGTATTGAATATTAAAGTTAATCTAGTAATTTTAAAGTTGGGGTTGGTGTCTCATGTATTGTATCCATTGCATATGCTCTCAGTCTCGCCAAATTGTTTCCACTGCATGACCAAGACAATCAGATTTCCACTGCTTAGATCCTTCTCTTCTGCAAACTGTCACCCTCCTTATTGCTGTGTATCTCCCTTTCTCTCCTTAGGCCAATTGAGGTATATATATAGTTCTAACCTCTCCTAATTTTTTTTTCTTTTTATTCTTATGGTTTAAATGTTAAATTTCAATTGTTCACGGTTCTGTTAACAAATAATTATTATCTTCTCCGTTGGCTAATCAATTTGATCAGATTTTGCGGAATCAAAGCTCAACTGAAAGAGCCTTATCCTCTCTACAACCTTTGTAACTCTTCTCCCCTCTTTCCCTCAGCTTGAAGCATTGAAAAGAAATTAAAGCTTATATATTTTGGAAGGTATGCATACATCTCTCTAACATCTTGATGTTAGATTTTGTCAA